CTCTCGATTTGAGTTTACTCGGATCTGCTCGTCCGCCGTTCTTCGTGTGCACCAAGTGATCCTTCACGTCCGAGGAACGTCGATCTACTTTTCTTTTTCTCCTCTTCAGAAACGAATTTCCATGACAAATTCCGCTTCTCGCGCGGATCATCGACTGTGATACGAAACGGTAACTATGGACAAATGTAACAATTTTGTCGATTTTGATATCGCGCACACCGGTAACGCCCTGTAAACGTCCGCAGATATTAGTCATTCGATGGAACTGATATGAGAGCGATTTGAAGGAGAATCAAGAGTGAGAGAGAAAGAGAAAAGAAGGAAGAGAGAGAGAGAGAAAGTACACTTTTGACGGAGTAACATCGAAATGGACAGCAAGGGGAGGAAGATCATTGTCTGTGACAATGGCACAGGGGTAAGAGTTTCTTTCGTTTTTTTTCTTTTGTGAGTGTTGTCTCACTGTCCTGATTAAGAGAGGATACACTAGATTAATGTGTGCATCACAATGTAGACGATTTGCAAATTTCTGGCACTAGTGCAGTTTTTCTATTATAGTTCGTTAAGTGTGGATACGCTGGTGCTAATTTCCCGGCTCACATATTTCCATCTATAGTTGGCCGACCAATAATCAGAGCTGTCAACAAGATTGGTGACATTGATGTGAAGGTATGTACATCCCTTGCCCCAGACTTCTGATGAGCTCTTATATCTTAAAGATACAGGGCAAGTAATTTTGTCTTGATACAAGTGCCCAAGTAATTAATCATCAAATTTATATCTGCTTTCTGTCAATGTAGATTAACTTTAATCTTTCAGTTTATTTTTATCTTTTTTTTTAATCTTTAGAACTAAAAAAGGACAAAAAATAAATTAAACTGCTATTAAAGTTAATCTATATTGATAGAAATAGAGACTACCGATATTTTATTCCTAAACGTTTATTTTCTTGTCTATAAATGTAAAGCAACTGTTGGCTATAATAAAATTTTATCAAATCATATAAAAAAAGATATCAAATGTATATTTTTTATATTTATAGAAAGAGGACATAATTTTTTGTGTCAAGTATATAAAGTTTTAGGATATAATTTTTCCAAGCTTCGAACGTATTTAGCAGTATTTAGATGATTAATAAGAACCATTATATTTTCAGCAAGAGTATTGCGTTCGTGTAAGTCCATTACATAGTATTACGTCGTGTGCTCCCCCTGCCCCTCTTAGTGCTTAAGTCCGACTGAAAAATAATTCGTATGCTTGTCCACTGATGTTAATAAAAGAATTTGAGAGGCTAGTGTGACATTTACTACTAACAAAAAGGAACCTATATTTAAAATGTAAGATGAACATTAATTGTAGCATTCTAACATTTAATCGTTTGATGAGTTTTATTAACAATCTCTTGGAGTTATGATGTTATTTTTAATCAAGTGATTTTATATTATATTCATTACATGTAATTTTTTTGCGAGAGATTCCAAAAGAGATTCTTGATAATTTTTGGCAGAAATACTATTTGATGAAACAGAAGAATCGGAAATTGATAGATTTGTAATAATATTGTTTATCTGTAATTTTTACTTACGTGGGTACTTACGTATGTATCGTACTCTTCCTAATAATTATCTAATGTATTTATGTGTGCTTACATTTGCTCTCGTAGGATGTACTTAACATGCCTGTAAGTTTATTGTACTCTTTTGATGCTATATACATCCATCGCATCGGTGTTTTAATGAGGAGGAATTTTTTTCGACTGTAGGTATGGGAGTAGTATGTTTGATATAATCCGGTAAACTTTTCCGAAGTGCTTAGGTATACACATTTGGAAACTGATTTAACGTAGAAGACTATCAAACATGAATTACATTCCGTAATCTAACTCTGAAATAATATATATTATAATTATTATTGACTATAACATTTTATGAAAATATTAGATAATTCCTAATATATCAAAGAATAATCATAAAATGTTTATTCTTTTAATTTTTACCGATTTCATGAAACAAAATTTTATGAAATTACTTTAATTCTTTTATTATATGTCATAAAAGAAATAGATTTATTATACATTATTTTGGGTATTTAACTAATCAATGTTGTTCAAATACTTAGAATTGTTGTGTCATACTTATTTTTAAAACAATAATATCATCTTTATAAAACATAGTGTATCTTTGTGATGCGTGCAGATTTTGATGATCATATATTATTGTCACAGGACTTAATGGTTGGTGATGAAGCGAGTAAACTTCGTTCTATGTTAGAGATAAGTTACCCAATGCAGAATGGAATCGTTAGGTATGTATATCAGGCATATCAGATACTTGCGCTTGTATTTATAAATAGTACATAAATAGTACATAAATAGTAATACAATTGATATTTGACAGAAACTGGGAAGACATGTGTCATGTGTGGGACTATACCTTCGGCAAGGAGAAAATGAATATTAATCCTAAAGAATGTAAAATTCTATTAACCGAGCCACCGATGAATCCTATCACGAATAGAGAAAAAATGATCGAGGTAAGATTACGCGCTTCCGAGAAAGTTATATTTGAACGTTTTAGAACTTAACCAGCATGACATTATTACAGGTGATGTTTGAGAAGTACGGTTTTGCTGGAACGTACATCGCGATTCAGGCGGTGCTGACATTATACGCTCAAGGACTGATCAGCGGTGTCGTCGTGGATTCAGGTGATGGTGTCACACACATTTGTCCTGTGTTCGAAGAATACGCTTTGCCACATTTGACCAGACGATTAGACATAGCCGGACGCGATATTACAATGTATCTAATTAAATTGTTACTGCTGCGCGGTTATGCATTCAACCATTCGGCCGACTTTGAAACGGTACGAATGCTGAAGGAGAAACTATGTTATATCGGTTATAACATAGAAACGGAAGAAAAGTTAGCTCTTGAAACCACTGTGTTGGTAGAATCCTATACTGTAAGTGAAATATATATTATTCATATATACTTAGTATAATTTTATTAATACTTGAGACGATTTAGAGTCAAATGTGCAAATTATTGTAAATATAATTATTGTAAATATTTTTAGCTTCCTGACGGACGTGTGATAAAAGTAGGAGGCGAGAGATTTGCAGCACCGGAAGCACTCTTTCAACCTCACTTAATTAATGTCGAGGCGCAAGGAATAGCGGAGCTAGTATTTAGCACAATTCAAGCGGCTGATATCGATATCAGAAGTGAGTTGTATAAGCACATTGTTTTGAGTGGAGGTAGTACAATGTATCCAGGGCTTCCATCGAGGTTAGAGCGAGAGATCAAGCAACTTTATCTTCAAAGAGTATTAAAGAATGATACTACCAAACTAAATGTAAGTTCGTTGTGTAATAAGAAAATTTAGCAATACTGGTACAAATATTGAAAATATTTTATAAATATAAATGTTTTTATAGAAATTTAAAATAAAAATTGAAGACTCACCTCGACGTAAAGACATGGTTTTCATGGGTGGTGCTGTATTAGCAGAAATAACAAAGGATCGAGATTCCGTATGGATAACGCGGGAGGAATACGAAGAGAAGGGTCTCAGTGTATTAAAAAAGTTAGGCTCTTACGAATCATAAGGAAAGTCATAGTAATGTAGGTTATAACATTTTTAACGGGCAATCAAGTGTTTTTTAAAGAAATGTCGTTCTTGAGAGTTAGATTCGCGCAGCAGTTTTATGATTTGTTATATAATTGTACAACAATTGTAAAACAAAATACTTTAAAAGACTTACTTAGCTGTTTGATATTAACTCACAATTCTTTTTCGATTGAATGTGATAACTTCAATTAAATATAAACAGATAAAAAATTTTCAACGCATCATTCCAGTAAAACACTGGATATAAATATTGATTTAATAAAATGATTTTTTTGCCATGTTTCAAATAGTTGTATTTGATTAAAATAGTTCGTCAATCAGGTATGGAATACTATTGCATTTAATGTGTATTTATAACTCTCAGGTAAATGTTCAACATATCGATTAATTTTTATTGTTTCTTACGATGATACCTGATGAAAACTTCATTCCTGTTTCTTTGTATTTATGTTGAACTCTTCTTTAAAAAGTGTAAATATAATTGAAGTTGTAAAAATCATTTTATTCAGTGTGAAATACTATTTGCCTTTTCATTATAATATGTAAAAAAAAGAACTGCAAGAATGATCGACGTTTGACTTTGTATTTGAAGTCTTTTACACATACGTATACATGTTATGAAACATGAGTTATACGTAATATATAAAAAAAATAGTAATCTATTGTTAAGAAATGTTTGAAAGAAATTAAATGGTTGGATTGTATATATGCAATGTTAAGATATTTGTAATTTTTTCTTATTATAAGCGATAATGCATAGAACTGTACAGAGAAAGCATTGGTAGAATTCTAATTTGATACATTGCAAAATATTTTACAACAGAATGATTTTGAGTTAGTCAGCTCTTCATATTGTCATGCTTGTTTATACGCTCATTGTTCATGTCATATTTATACATAAGTTT